CCCCAAAACCCCAAAACCCCAAAACCCCAAAACCCCATTTCATTCACAAATTATAGAAATTAATTAAGATGGAAGAGGTGTGCCACCCCAAGTTAGAAGGGTTTGAGCCAGAAAGTATTTTTAACTTCTACAAGCTTTATTATTGAACTCTGTCAGAGAACAGCACTATTTTTATTCCTTTGACAGTCTGAATATTTCTTGGATGCATGTATCTACTCGGCAGCACTGCAGATGAATATCTCTCAAATGCACTTGAGAGTATTGCCAAAAATCTTAAAATAAGTGAGACCATATCTGCTATCACTTTGCTTGCACTAGGAAATGGAGCTCCTGATATATTTGCATCATTCTCTGCAGCAGGCTCATCTGAAGGAATTTATCTCTCCTTAAGTTCTAGCATGGGAGGAGTTCTTTTCATTATCGCAATTGTGACTAGTATTGTCATTTTCACAGCAGGGGATAACCAGGTGACAACTGACAAATCAGTATTCTATAGGAATATTTTGTTCTTAATAACTGCTATACTTCTGTTGCTATTCTCTGGGGTTATCAGGCGAAGAATTGATTTAGCAACATGAGCACTCTTAATCTTCATCTATATTGTATATATAGCATTTGTAGTAGTCCATGACAATAAAGAAGAAGCAATGAAAGCTAAGAGAGCCTGGATGTTTAATGAACTGAAAGAAACTAGCTTTAAAAAGATGAATCGTAGTGAATTTTTAAATCTCATGGATGATGAAAATGCTTATTTTCAAAATATTAATCCATCAGGTGAAATTAGTGGAACATCCTCAGTTATTTATGAAGGAGAGGAGATTAAGCCCGAAGAGATGCTACATTTCTCTATAGAAAGCGCTAATGGAAGTAATAACCACAAACAGAATGGAAATATGGATAAATTAGTAGATGGTCTAAAAGAAACTGCATGGGCAAATGCAAAACACGTAGTTTTTCAAAACAATACAACGAATGCATCTAAATATAAAAGCATGTCTTTCATTGAATTTCTTGCATCATACATACCTCTTCGGAGGATGACAATTCCAATGACAAAGAGAGAAGAGTGGAATAGAAATTTAGATTCTTGAACTCCTTTTATGTCAGTATTATTTTTCCTTCTTGTATCTGGGTTGTTTAACCCATTCAGTCCTATTCAGATAATTATCTTATCTTCTGCTTTGTGAGTCTCTGTGATTATTAGGTTTAATACTTACGCTTCTGAGCCGCCTGGAAGCCCTGTCCCAGGAATGATGATATTCCAAGCGTTCATAATGTCAATAGTTTGGATCTGGACACTCGCAAATATTGTTGTTGACCTAATCACAATTTATGGAGATATCTTAGGAGTTAGTCCATCAATACTGGCAGCTACACTCCTTGCTATAGGAAACTGAGTGGGAGATGCAATGGCAAGCTTCAGTATCGCAAAGAAAGGCTATGGAGGAATGGCAATGATGGGTTGTTTCGCCTGCCCTCTCTTTAACTTCCTCATAGGCCTCAGCCTGAGCTCATCCAGGTTATTACTCTTCGCACCAGAAGACCCTAACGAGTCACTGCTCACCCGGAGTATAAAATTCGACCTACTTAGCTCGAAGGCAACCGTAGTCTTATTCGGTGCATTAACAATCTTATGAATCCTGGCTTTGTTCATCATCCTCGTTCCTAGGAACAAGTTTAAGTTCAGTAGCAAGCAAGCAATAGTGAGGCTGTCGGCTTACGGCTGATTTATACTAGGATTGGTGTATTTACTGTTTACATAAATATTTGTGCTGACTTGGATATCTTGATTCAGGGAATACCCTTTGGTTGGGGTTTTGGGGTTTTGGGGTTTTGGGGTTTTGGGG